GTGTTTTCTGTTTGGGTTGATGAAAAAATTTTCAGAAATAGTGGTGGTGGTGGTTGCACAACATTGTAAAGGTAATTAATGCCACTGAATTGAACACCTATAAATAGTTTAGATGGTAAATTTTATGTTATAAAAGTAATACTAAAATGGTGGGTTTTTTTTTTCTTTTTCTTTTTCTTTTTTTTTTTTTGAGACAGGGTATCTTTCTGTTGCCCAGGCTTGAGTGCTGTGGCATGATCTCAACTCACCCCAGCCTCAACCTCCTGGGCTCAAGCAATCCTCCCACCTCAGCCTCTCGAGTAGCTTGGGCCACAGGTTTGCACCACCACACTTGGCTAATTTTTGTATTTTTTGTAGAGACTGGGTTTTGCCATGTTGCCCAGGCTGGTCTCGAACTCCTAGGCTCAAGCAATCCACCTGTCTCAGCCTCCCAAAGTGCTGGGATTACAGGTGTGAACCACCACACCCAGCCTAAAATGAATCTTTTTTTATTTTTCTTTTCTTTTCTTTTCTTTTTTTTTTTGAGACAGAGTCTTACTCTGTCACCCAGGCTGGAATGCAGTGGCATGATCTCAGCTCACTGAAATCTCCGCCTCCCGAGTTCAAGCGATTCTCCTGCCTCAGCCTCCTGAGCAGCTGAGATTACAGGCACACACCACCAAGCCCAGCCAACTTTTGTATTTTTAATAGAGGAGGGGGTTTCACCATGTTGGCCAGGCTGGTCTTGAACTCCTGACCTCAAGTGATCCACCCACCTCGGCCTTCCAAAGTGCTGGTTAAAAAAAAATTCCATTCCACCGCTTGCTAGGTAATGTACCTCACCATTCTGAAGTGCCTCTTCCTCATCTATTGTGTCTTTGATGCCATGGTTGATCATGAGAATTACATGAGTCAATATGGTAATATGAGGCGGTTTTTAAAAGCATCTCACACTACCAGCATTGCAGTCAGCTTCATTGCCATCCTTGTGTTGAAAAGCTCCACAACCGTTGCCACTAGGCATTTCTTATTGGCCATGATTTGCAGGGGGCTTTCACCTCCTCATATATTCCCTGTTTTCCCTTCTGTGACCTCCCCTCCTTTCCTACTCTTCATTACCACCTCAAATGCCAGTGCAGGGAATGCACGGAAAAATTGACTCCATCTCTCTGTCTTGTCTCTTTCCGGCCAGTTCCTCTGGGTGTCCTCGTCAACAGCTGGCGTGTGCCGTCAGTGACATTTCCTCTCTCAGAGGTATTCTGGGTCTAACTGTTGAACTAACAGGATTTTCACTTCCTTACACGTTCACATACAAATTTGCACATTCCTTGACGGGGTTGTAAGTACATAATAGTTGAAACCTTGTTTTTTGTTTTTTTTTTCATAAAATATCTTGGACATCTTCTCATAAATAAACAGATTCCCCAAACCAAACCACAGTGTTTTGCTTGAACTCAGGCCCTCATGGGAGATCTGAGACCAGCTGTTAGAGAATCTCTGAGGCGGGTAGGTAGAGCCTGTTGCCCAGGTCCGCAGTCGGCTCAGCCACTGGAGAGGAGAGGGGACTGACTGGCCACAGGGGACTAAGTCCACTTGCTAACTCAGAACAGGAGGAAGCCTCCTTTCCTAGGAAGATGGGACCAACCCTAATGAGGACTAATAAGGGTACCTCAGACAAACCAATTGACCAACTGGAACAGGGCAGAGATGAGGGTGTGTCTTCCAAGGCCCAAAGCAAGAGAAACATCCCCAAGAGGGAAGGGGTGTGTGGATCAAAGTGGTTTTTTAATTTTGTTTGTTTGTTTGTTTTTGAGACTGAGTCTTGCTCTTTCACCCAGGCTAGAGTGCAATGGTGCAATCTCGGCTGAATGCAACCTCCACTTCCTGGGTTCAAGCGATTTTCCTGCCTCAGCCTCCTGAGTAACTGGGATTACAGGTGTGATCCATCGTGCCTGGCCTCAATCAAGGTTCTTAATTGCTAGCCACAGGAATCTCCTCTGGAAGATATAATCAGAAGATGAATTATTGACATATTTCCAGGAATTTCGAGGAAATGTCTAGGAAAGCTGGAGTACTTGGTTTGGAAAATAAACAAGAATAAGGGGAGCTGAGGGAGAAACATGGCCACGCTCATGCCACAGAACTAGAGTGATGGGGACGGCTGTGCTGTCACCACTGAGCCAGGATGGGGACAGCCTAGTTTGCCCAGCAACCACTGCCATGCCTGGTCCCTGGCCTGAGGCTCTAGCCTGGCCGCAAGCTGCCTGTTGCTGCCACACTGTTCCTGCCCACCCCAGAAAAGATTCTCCACTGCCCCTGTTTCTTTGCACCAGTCTGGGGCAATTACATCTGATTTGCTGAGCGTAGGTCCTGTGTCCCATGCTGGAGGTAAAGGAGGCTGGAAGGCAGGCAACTGGAGTTGTTCGTGTCTGTAATGGAGGTAGCCTCTGACTCCCACCAAAACTCATCAGCGAGACACTTCCCAAACAAAACAGGAGGGCTTCAGAGGCTGGGAAGGTGTCTTAGATCTTTTGGGCTGCTATAACGAGACACCAAAACTGGATGGATTATAAACAACAGACATTTATTCCTCATAGTCCTGGAGGCTGGGAAGTCTAAGAGCAAGGCACCGACATACCCTGTGTCTGGTGAGGGCCCACTTCCTGGTTCATAAATGGCACCTTCTAGCTGTGTCCTCGCATGTGGAAGGGGCAAGGGATCTCTGCTGGCCTCTTCTATAAGGACGCTAATCTCGTTCCTGAGGTCTCTCCCCCTCATGACCTGATCACCTTCCACATGTCTTCTCTCCTAATGCTGTCACCTTACAGGTTAGGATTGCAACATAGGAATTTAGGGGGACACAAACATTCAGTTCATTGCAGCAGCCAAAAGAAAAGTTACTACCAAGAGACATCTGCCAGGTCAGTGACCCAGGGGACTGATGAGACATCTTGGTACAGGAAAGAGAAGGCATTCCTCATCCAGGAGGATGAGGACTGTGGCAGGACCCTTAGAGACCTGCAGGATGGCCCTGAGGGTGGTGGGAGAGGTGCACAGGTCTCATCCAGGGTTCATAAATATATATATACATATATATCTTTTTTTTTTTTTTTTTTTTTTGAGACAGAGTTTTGCTCTTTTTGCCCAGGCTGGAGTGGTGCAATGGTGCAATCTCGGCTCACTGCCACCTCTGCCTCCCGGGTTCAAGCGATTTTCCTGCCTCAGCCTCCCAAGTAGCTGGGATTACAGGAGCCCGCCATCACACCTGGCTAATTTTTTTGTATTTTTAGTAGAGACCGGGATTCACCATGTTGGCCAGGATGGCCTCAATCTCTTGACCTCGTGATCCGCCCGCCTCGGCCTCCCAAAGTGCTGGGGTTACAGGCGTGAGCCACCGCACCTGGCCCAGGGTTCATATTAAGAACCAAGTTCTGGGAGACACTGAGGCCCCCAGGGGTTCTGGAGTCAGCCCTAAACCAGGCAGCCCTCAGGTGAGGTCTGAGAGCATCTCAGAAGCTTCCAGACCCTCTTGAAACCCAGCTCACCCTGCATCTCACTTCCTTTTGGTGCCTCGTTGCTCTGTTTGGCCTCATTGGCCCTTTCCTAAAGCCATCCAGTAAACCTCCAGGTGCCTGGTGGGTTTGTCAAGGTGTTTCCCCATAGGTTCCTGTGCTTCTAGTGGGGGTAGGTATCAAAGTGGCAGCAGCAGCCTTACCGGCCTGGTATGCAGGAGCCAGAGCAGCTGGGGCAGGGGAGACCCAGGGGTCTGCCCTTGGCCAGCTCTGGCGGCCTCATCAATAGAGTGTGGCCTGGAGGTGAGTGGGAGGAGGAAGTCGTGTTTACCGCAGCACCAGCTGTTGCACATTTACTCCGTGCCTGAGGTTAAGTGCTTGACTCCGTTGCTCCATCAAACCTTCAGCACAACTCCTCTGTGAACCGGGGATTGTCATTACCCACGTCTTCCAAAGAAGCTCAGTTATCTGCCCCACATCGCCCAGCAGTCAGTCAAAAAGCCAGGATTCAAACCCAGGCTTGTCTGATTCCCAAGCATCCATCCCTCCCACCAGGCCAGCACCAGGGGCCAGAGGGGTATAGGCCTGGGCCAGACCATGCAGGGGGCCACCACCCTGAGGGCACCTTGAGAGGGAAAGAGGAGGCCCCAGAACACCCTCCCAGGGCCCGTCCCCCTCCTCCTTAGCATGTTCCAGGTCTCTTCCAGGAAAGCCCTGAAGGGCCTGCATCCCCCTGTGGAGAGGAAAGAGAGGTGGCTAGACTCGCAGGGCTGGGGTCCAGAGGTAACAGCCAGGATGTGGAGTCCTTTGAGACAAAGGCTTGAACTGGCTCTTCCCTTGGGGAGGTTTTTGAGTCTCTAAGGGTGGGGTGAGAGACCGCGCCAAGGCTGCAGCTGCCCAAGCCCACAGCTGGCTGTGCTGATGAGACTTCTCAGGCCCCCTGACTCTCTGCCCCTAACCCCAGTGGCTACAAACTCGGTCCCAAACTGGCAGGCCTCCTGGCAGGAGGCCCCTGGACAGAGCAGAGCAGGGCCCTGCAGCCTCCAGCACCTGCTCCTCCTCTCCTCTCCGAACTCGTCTCGGTCCCCAAGCCTCATTCCTCAATTCTGGATGGAGACCACAGGTTTAGCAGTCAAGACATTTCTGAAATAAACCTTATTGCTTTTATAATGGAACTGGGGTGGGGTGGGTTCAATGAAACCACATAAATAAGGTAAAGACACTGAAGATCTCATGCAAGGAGGAACCATCTCTCTCGGTGTACCGTGAGCTCTCCAAGGCCAGGAACCCTGTCCTGCTTGCCTCCAGGTGTCCCCCTCAGTGTGAGGCAGAGTTGGGCACACGGCTCCACAAACGCTGTTTGCTGGTTGTCCGGTGCCTAGAACAACGACTGGCGCATCGGAGGCATTCAATGTATATTTGTTGGCTAAGTGAATATAAGTGGGTTGCATATTTTGACTTGGGATAATTTGTGATATCTTTTTCTACCTCCCCTTAGAGGACTCCCCGTACACTCGCCTCCAGCACACCCTGCCCTTACCTCTCCTGCAGTCTCATCTCCCCAATCCTGGGTGTCTCCTGCCAGGCCGCTGCTAAGCTCTGCCCCGTCATGGTTACCTCCCCACCTCTCCAGCTGCAAGGAGGAGTCATCTGGCAACCAGTTGAGGCTAGATTCTCAGCAGCTTTATTGAATATCGAGAGGTGGTGTCACCTCTCACTGGACATGTGTCCTCAAGTTCATACCAGAACTGCTTTGGGACAGACAGACAGACAGGTGGCAGGGCAGGGCAGGTGTCTGCGAGGGTGGGGTCAGTGCACCAGGGGCAGCTCAGCTCTCCAAAGGGGCCAGCATCTCCACCTGCTCCTGCTGCTGCTCCTGCTGCTGCTCCTCCTGCTGCTCCTGCTGCTGCTCCTCCTGCTGCTCCTGCTGCTGCTCCTGCTCCTGCTGCTCCTCCTGCTGCTCCTGCTGCTGCTCCTGCTCCTGCTGCTGCTCGGGCTCCGGGAGGGACAGGGTGTTGTCCTGGCTCTCTTTCTCCTTGAAGGTGCTGAAGAAGGAGTTGACCTTGTCCCTCAGGTCCTTCTCCAGGAAGCTCAAGTGGCCTTCCACGTCCCCCGCATGGGGGCCCAGCTTCTGCCTGAGCTGTTCCATCTGCTGCACCAGAGCTTTGTTGAAGTTCTCCCCGTAGGGCTCCACCCGGAGCCGGAACTCCTCCACATGCCGGTCCAAGTGCCCGCCCAGCTCTGCCAGCGACTTCTGCAGCCCCTCGGTGTTGCCTCTCAGGTTGCCACGCACGTCCTCGGCCAAGGGCGCCAGCCTCTGCCGCAGCTCCTCCGCACTGGCCGAGATCCTGGCCTTGAGCTCCTCTGCGTTCTTCTTCATCTGGAAGGCCAGGCCCTCGAGCTGGTGGTTGAGCTTCTCCTGTGCGTCCTGAGCATAGGGAGCCAGGCTGCGGCGCAGCTCCTCCACGGTCTGGTCGATCTTGACTTTGAACTCGTCGGCGTAGGGCGTGAGGCGCTCCTTGAGCTCCTCCACGTTCTGGTCGATCTTGGCCTTGAGCTGGTCTGCGTGGGGCCTCAGCGAGGTCTGCAGGCTGTCGGCGTTCTCCCGCAGCACTCTCTCCATGCGCTGTGCGTAGGGGGTCAGCTGGCGCCGCAGCTGCTCAGTCTGCGTGTTGACCTGGGTGCGCAGCTGGTCCGTGTAGGGCTCCAGGCGCTGCTGCAGCTCTCGCACATTTTCCCCGATCTTCTGGCTCACCTCATTGGCATGGGGCAGCAGCCGGGCCCTCACCTCCTCCAGCTCCTTCCGAATCTCCTCCTTCAGTTTCTCCGAGTCCTTGGCCAGGCGTTCATGCAGCTCGGTGGCGAAGGGCACCAGCTTCTTCTGCAGGTCACCTGCGTAAGTGTTCACTTCTCCAAGTTTGTCCTGGAAGAGGGCACTGTGGGGAAGGGCACAAGGAGGCCACGTTACACTTGGCACTCACGTGGCAAGACTTTGTCTGCTTGTATACCACTCACCTTATGCACACTTGCTAGGACAGGTGAGTGCTCAGGGGTACCGAGTTCACCCTCCCTATGGCGGTTCAGATTGGAGAGGATGACTGTCACAGACTAAGTTATGACACTGAATTTCTATCTCGGTATCTCCCACAGACTTTGTCTCAGAATCTACCCATCATGTCACCTCCAGCAGTTTGCTTTCCCCTCCTTGTCTGTAGAGGGTGGGACTTTGGGGTCCTTCCCTGAGGGGGTGTGCTGCAACATAGGATCACGTTATGAAACAGAATGTTGTCTTCCTGACCTCTGCCGGGGTCTTCCAGCGACACAAGTTGCTGCTTTCCTTGCCTGTGCCCAGGGGCCTCCCAAATATTCCCCGCTCCCTCCCCTTGATTTCAGTGGGGCCTGTCTTTCTGAAACGTATTAGAAATCAGCTCACATGACATTTTCCTCCCTCCCTTTCTTCCGTGAGCCCGAATGATAGGATGTGGCCATTTGTCAAACTCTAGAACATCAAAGCAAAAGGACATCGCAGGGATTATTCGACCCAACCTTCCAGTTTACATATGTGGATCCTAGGTTCAGAGGCCCAGCCAGTTAGTGGCAGGGCAGTGGGTATCCTAAGCTCAGGGCTCCTGACTCTAAGCTCAACCCTTGCCAATACATTGCATGGTCTTTAAGAACTCCTTGTCACCACCGCACACTGTACTCCCTCTTACTTGAGTTGCTGGGTGAGTTCAGATTTCTGGAGATGTTCCACGGCCTCCTTGGCATTGCTGCTCAGCTGGCTGAAGTAGTCCCACATCACCGTGGCCACCTGGTCAGCACTGACCTCAGCCCGGGCTCCTGGGTGGTAACAGAGAGGAATTCATGAGACCCTGTGTCCTTTGTGGCCCTTCTGCTCCAGCTCTGAGCTGCAGACTGGATGATGGCGGGGGTGCCCAATCTGCAATTTTCCCTGTCTGGGCTTAGCTTTTTGGAAGCCACAGGGATATGTGAAACTGGTATAGCACCAATGCCAGTGGGCCCACCAGTGGGACTGGGCCAGTTCTCCCGTGAGCCACTTGGCAGCCAGGCAGACCTCATGTCCAGCTGGGGGCTGATGGGCACTCAGAAGTGTCCTTTTGCTTTGGCCCAACTTCCATCCTGCACCACTCAGAGCAGCCGCCTAAGAGCCCCATCCGAAGATAGCTTCTACTCACCGGTGACAGCCACCAGGGCCAGGGTCAGGACCACGGCCTTCAGGAACATCCTGAGCTCCTTGCTGGGCTGGAGGAGTTTCCTGCCACCCTGGATCCTCCCTACAATCAGGGGAGCTGACGAAGAGGTCCTCAGGAGAGCTCACCTGCGCTGCTGTGGGAACTGACTGAAGCTCAGAGCCAGCCAGACATTTAAACTCTCTCCCTACCACTGCCCCCCCTCCGGCTGCCCTCCCCACCTGCTTCCCCAGGGTGACTCCACGCTGGAAGGTGACACATTCCCAAGAGGCCTCTTGGACTTTTGTGACCCTGAGACTACGTGGAAGCTGACAGCAGACCGGGGCTTAGGCGATAGTTAGAAGTAGTGGCTGTTCTGTGCGTAGGCACCCCCGCTACCAACCTCAGCGTGGAAAGGAGGAGGGGAGCGGAAAACGGTGAGAGAAACACCTTGAGGAGCCCCTGAGCCCGGGACTGATGCCTTAAGGCTCTGCTGGCGGCTCTGGGTTTGTGCCAGGCTCATGGGGGGCAAAGTCCACATCTCCTCTGTCTGCCCCAGTGAAGAGAGTTCCCCCCAATCTCCACATCCGCCACTAATGCTGACTCCATCTCAGAGCACCAGACACTAGAGTGGGACCATCCAGGGCAGCAGATAGCATAGTGAGCTAAAATCTAGGTCTCTTGTCAAGGTACACCCAAGAGGAGGGGGCGCTGGAGAGCCTTTGGGCAGATGGGTGCAGGGGACAGGGCCTTATCCTGAAAGGGTTAATTGTAGTGTGCTTCATGTCCCACTCCTAAGCTGTGCCTCCTTGGTCTAGTTATTCAAAGCCCTCAGCCTCAGTCTCTCCTCTGAGCAATGCGATGGTTCAGTACATTAAAGAAGACATTGCTTGCAAAGTGGGTAGTAGGGTCCTCCCTCAGTCTCCATGGGAAATTGATTCCAGGACAAAAAATCCATGGATGCTCAAGTCCTTGATATAAAATGGCATAGTATTTGCATATAACCTAAGCACAACCTCCCATGTACTTTAAATCTCTAGACTACTTATAATAGCTAATACAACAGAAATGCTGTGTGAATGGTGGTTATACTGTATTGTTTAGGAGACAATCACCAAAAAAGTCTGTATATGTTCAGTATAGGTGCAATTTTTTTTTTTTTTTTTTTTTTTTTGAGACGGAGTCTCACTCTGTTACCCAGGTTGGAGTGCAGTGGTGCAATCTTGGCTCACTGCAATCTCTGCCTCCCAGGTTCAAGAAATTCTCCTGCCTCAGCCTCCTAAGTAGCTGGGATTACAGGCACCTGCCACCAGGCCCAGCTGATTTTTGTATTTTTAGTAGAGACAGGGTTTCACCATGTTGCTCAGGCTGGTCTCCAACTCCTGGCCTCAAGCAATCCTCCCATCTTGGCCTCCCAAAGTGCTGGGCTTACAGGCATGAGCCACTGCACCCTGCCCAGATGCAACTTTTTTTAAAACATTGTTTTTAATGGAGATGGGCTTTCGCTATGTTGCTCGGGCTGGTCTCCAACTCCTGGCCTCAAGTGATCCTCCCATCTCGGCCTCCCAAAGTGCTGGGTTTACAGGTGTGAGCCACTGTGCCTGGCCCACAAATGCAATTTTTTAAAAAATATTTTCAATCCAAGTCTGGTTGAATCCATGGACAGAGAAACCAAGGATACAGAGGGCCGCCTATAGAGTTCCTGGCACAGAGTAAGTTCTGAAAAATAGTTGCTGTTATTATGATAATCATACTGTGCTCCTGATTTGGAGTAAAGCAGGGAGTATAGCAGAGTGCTCCCTCTTCTAGTGAGAGTGGCAGAGTGAGACTCAGCCCTCTGAGGGGCACCAGGTGGGCCAGAGGCAGGGTGATAGGTGGGACCAACCTTAGCTCCTGCCCTCCGCAGCTTCCAGTCACACTCCCTGGGCAGCAGCAGCTGGCTTGAGCAGAATCTCGGGACCTGAGGCTCTCAGGGGACCTCCCATTGGGGGATGGAGGGCAACGGTGGTGGTGCACAGGAAGTCTTCTACTTAGATGTCTAGCGGATCTCTAAATGAGGCTGCATGCATAATCACATACAGACATCCACTGAGAATGTGACACACCACGTCAGTGTGGGTCCCTCTGCCAGACCACACCACTCCCAGTGACTGTGAGGTGACGTCCAGCACATTGCACTATTGGCTCCTGTCGGTGAGTGCAGTGCCTGACAACAGTGAGCTACATTTATTTGTAAAAATGAATGCCATCAGAGTAGACCACAATTGTGCTAACTCGAATTTGCTTTGTGTGCATTTCTTTCAGTTTCCTGAAGTGGCTTGATGTCTCACAGGGTTGAAGGCAGCCAAATGACCTTCTGACTCTGACACCTCTTCTGCTGGGTACCCGCTGCCCTGCAGTGGTCTCCATGCTACCATGCTGCCTCCTTTTTGATGTAGCCTGTGCCATCTCTCAGTGACTGTTGGGGTCAGATGCTGGAGTCCACTCCCTGGCTTTGCATCCAGCCTCCAACACGTACTGCCTGTGTGTCCTTGGGCAAGTCTCATAACCTCTCTGGGCCTCGGTTGCCTTGGTGAGACATAACCACTGTACCTGCCTCCCAGGCTGTGAGGATTCACTGAGATAATTATATAACGCTTGCAACAATGTCTGGCACATAGTAAAAATGATCACTGAATGTTAGCCACATCTTACCCCTGAAAGGCTTACCTCCCTGGAACCCATTGGTCCCAACCCTGCTCCTGAATCAGTCACAGTCCAGCTTGCCGTGGGAGCAAAGATCAGTACTCAGTGCTCCTGTCCCTTCCTCAGGCCAGAGCTGAGGAGGAGACTGAGTCACAAAAGACACCTCAGCTGCAGTTTGACCTCCGGGACTCATAGTCTGAGCAGCAGGTGCCACCAGCATGTGAGAGGTCCAGAGCTCTTCTGTCTCGCCCACCCGCCTGGGTGCACCCATGCTGGGAGCGCCTGCACCATTTGAGCATCTCCGATAGCATCCGCCAGAGTGTGTGCGGATTCACAGAAGTATGCAAATCACTAAGAATCCAGGGACTGGCACAGCCCATGCGTGCACCCACACTCACGAGGGGGCCTGCTGCCTCTCAGCGTGGCAGGGATGTGACCTGTTAATGAATGTATTTACTTCCCAGAGTCTGTGGGCATGTTTTGCATCGATCTGTAGATGGATTTGTTTTGGGGAGCAGGGAGAGAATGAGGGCCCCCTGTGCCCAGTCTTACAGGGTGCAAGTAGCTGATGGGAAGAGCAGATTGCCTTCCAGCCGGGCCTGGTCCTGTGAGTCAGGGGCCTCTACCTTAGTGGGCGTGAAAGGCCTGTGTGATCTCAAGGGAGACATGGCCTCTCCGAGCCTCTCCTTATCTGTACAACCGACAGACGTAATGATTGGTGAGGCAATGAGGCTGATTGCTCAGCATTAGCTACGGCCACCCTTCCTGGCCAGTCACACAGGGATCAAACCAGGGGTCAGTCCAGAGGTCAGAGTCAGGAGCAGACAACTCAGATCCCGCCAGGGACAGACTCAGCCAGGGACAGGCAGGTCACACAGACATGTGCCTCACGTATGCTTCAAGGGGCCCTCCCCCGGGCAGAACTAAAGGACAGCTCCTGTTGCCATAGGAGGGATCTGGGTGAGATACTAGGAGGAACTGCCAGCATGATGATGTGTGATGAACAAGGGCCTCTGGCCAACAGGTCTGAATCAGGGCTGCCCAGCCCAGACTGGTAGGAAGGGCATGGATCACGGGGGCTTGAGTACTAAACCTCACCTGGACACAGGGTGAAACAGCCCAACCCCAGAGGACCGTTTGTGGCCCCAGATGGTCAAATCCCCTTTTCCTCCCATCTACCACTGGCTTCTCCCCGAACCAGTCTTAATTCCAGGAGTGCCATGATGAGAGAGAGGGGCAGCTTAGGCTGACCACCAAGAGAGCCCCCACCGAGGTGCAGGCTGGACTGCTGGTGAGGGGCCACAGGTATTCACAGGTACCAAGCCCTTGGAAAGAGACAAGGCGCCAGGCTTCCTGGAGGTGTGCTGCATCTAGCTCAGCACGCTGCCAGGTCTCTCTGCCCACATGTCCTGACCTCCCTGGGTCCACTGCCATGCAAGAGAGAGAGGCCAGGCTCCTCCATACCCTCTGCACAGGTGGAAGGGCTTGGAGGATCTGGGGCCACGGGACCCTGCCAGCCCATTTTAGCCTGCCCGGGCCCATGGACCTTGTTGCCCGCCCCTGCCTGGATCTGGGTCCCCCACTGTGCCTTTACCTCTGGGGCTACGGAGCAGGCCACAGCAGAACAGGAAAGGGCGTCCCCAATACCAAATCCTCCAGTGACCACCTCCTCGCCTTCTACCCCATCATCAAAGTCTGCAGGAGACTTGAGACGGATTTGTTCAGGGCATGTGACTGATGCGTCTATAGGGGTCTCAGTGCTCTAGGCCGTCTGGTATTTGCCTGGTGTGTGTGAAGACCTGGATTAAGGCTCCCAGCCTTACTACTAATGGGCTGTGCACTTGGAGCCCTTAGAGCCTTAGATTTACAACCTATAAAATGGAGTTAATGTCTACTTCACAGGATTCTATTTGCATTTTAACAGAAAACAAAGTCTTAAGTCAAAGGAATGAATCTCTCTCTTTTTTTTTAGACCAAGTCTAGCTCTGTCATTGGAGTGCAATGGCGCGATCTTGGCTCACTGCAACCTCCACTTCCGGGGTTCAAGCAATTCTCGTGCCTCAGCCTCCTGAGTAGCTGGGACTACAGGTGTCACCATGCCCAGCTAATTTTTTGTATTTTTAGTAGAGACTGGGTTTGGCCATGTTGCCCAGGCTGGTCTGAAACTCCTTGCCTCAAATATCCGCCCATCTCAGCCTCCCAAATTGCTGGGATTACAGGCATGAGCCACTGTGTGCAGCCAGGAATGAATCCCTACCAGAGTAATTCCAAGTCGGAAACTAGGAACGGGAACAGGGCTCCTGCTTTTGCTCGATTAGGGAGCGATCTGGTGGAGGAGTAGCGTTGTATCGGGAGAACGTGCCAGGCCATGGATGGTGGTGAGTGGTAACAAGGGGCTCCCTGGCTCAGCATCTGAAATCGGGCTGGCCCGGAGCCCAGACTGTCAGGAAGGGCACGATCACGCGGGGCTGTGTGGATGTAGGCTAAACCGTCACCGTGGACACAGGGGTGAGAACGAGGCCCAAGGTCCGTCCCGAGGGCCATGTGTGGGTGCCCCGTGATTGGGTCAAAGTCGTCCCCGTTTCCTCCTCATGTCTTACCACTGCTTCTCCGCGCCTTGAGACAGGTCTTGTTGTTTTTTGTTGGGTTTGGGTGTGGGAGCGGGCTCGCTCTGGTCAACAAAACAAAACATAAATCATAAAAAACAGAAGAATCGTGAGGCTCACTGGCCAGCTCCGCCTCCTGGGTTCACGCCATTCTCCTGCCTCAGGCCTCCCGAGTAGCTGGAACTAACAGGCGCCGCCCACTTCGCGCCCGGCCATTTTTTATTGTTTAGTAGGACAGGTTTCACCATGGTCTCGATCTCTGACCTTTGTAATCCGGGGCGCCTCCGGCCTCCCAAAGTGCTGCGGATTGAGCATGGGGTCGGTGAGCCACCGCGCCCAGCTACGAACCAGTCTTAATTCCAGGAGTGCCATGATGAGAAGAAGGGGCAGGCTTAGGCTGACCACAAGAGAAGCCCCCACCAGGTGCAGGCCTGGGACTGCTGGTAGGGCCACAGGTATTCCACAGGTACACAAGCCTTGGAAAGAGACAAGGCACAGGCTTCCTGAGGTGTGCGCATCTAGCTCAGTCACGCTGCC